CGAAGGCATCATTCCACGCCTCTGCCGTGATTTATTTGACAGACTGCAGGCGGCCTCGATAGCCAAAGAGAAGGTTGAAGATTCATTTGTCGACGGTGGGAACCCGGTGGAAGAAAGGACTAGGCAACATCTTGTGGAGGTGAGATTCTTAACTTCATCAATATTTCCTTTCACTGAGGACACAGTCTGTTCATTTGAAGCTTCCAGATCATATTTCTCGACTTAGTCAGCATTTTGAACACATTACACCAATCGCATTGCTACTCTTTAGACGTATTTTATAACACTATGGTCCTCATTAGCTCAAGTGATGGTAAATGTCCAAAACAGGTCTTGATTAGGCTCCCTTATTTATAAGCTTCATTTGGCAAGGTTTCTCGCCGCACTCGTTCCCGAACGGGCTTAACTACCGCCTGAGCCTGACTGGTACTTGGTAAAGATCCCAAACGTAGCAGAAAACTGCAACGTTGACACTTCACATGTTTGAGCACAAACCATATCCTCACTGGGTCCATTATAGTTGCAAGCTTTTTTGCGCATAAGTTACGGCAGGTTTCGAAATAGGATCCTTCTCCTGGCAGGTTTTTTGAAATAAGAACCTTGCCAACCTAGGCCACTTAATGAGCTTTAAGGATTGGTTGTAGAATTTTTCCACAATGTCTTGATTTGCTTCATGATGACATTGAATTATATTTGGCCTTGCCTTCCCAAAGTGTTTTCCATTCCAGAGTAGGCTACAGTTTCAACTTTGTATAGATCTAATTACCACTTCCGGATGGATTTAAGTCAGGGCAATAAGCATCGTTAGACACATTACCGTTCCACTATGCAGCCATTGTTTCCCTTGGCCACAGGGCGATTTTCAAGACAAGCCAGTTCCCTCCAAAATTAAAGTTAACATGAGTCTCTTTGAGGTAACTTGGTATTTTTGATTATATTCGACAGAGCACTTATCGATGTGAATATATTTCGAGATCATCAGTGATCCTTAAACAAGAACTTATTTCTCTTGGGTCAATTCGGGTGGTTTATGAAGGCTGATGATGGAATTTTCCTATAATAACTCACTTGCCTATGTCTTTCTAAGGTGTACACGATTCATTTTCTAATCCTTTTGCAGATTATCGTGAGGCCTAGGCGAGGTAGAGACTGTAGTCTTCTCCTAAGGAGCAAATATTTTGTGAAGCAAATACACTTGAAATTCATTGACATCTTATTATGGAAAATACTTTACTCCTTGTCCATAGATAACTTTAAGGGGTTTAGGGTTACGTATTTATTTTTCGATAGTTTCGGTTGATACTCAAATTCAAAATAGGTTTGAGTGGTTTAAAGACAGTTAAATCTGAAACATGCTGATAAACACTTGATAGTATTTCAGATAAAAAAAGGAAAAAGCCAAATACTTTTGAAAGAGAGCGAAATTATGCATTTCTATGCGGGGTTTAGACTGAAGTATGCCAGTAATGGGTAATCACTGTTATGTTTCAAATTCAGAATCGTGGAAAAGAAGAAAATAGCAAAAGCATCGGTTTATCCATGGCCAGTTTTTTTATTACTAAGACAATAAACTCATAAACTCCAAGCTACCGACGGTTATGCATTGCCTTAAGTATCACTCGCTTATCAGTTAGACATTAAATTGCTATAATCACTTCCGCACTACCGAATTAAATGATAAAAAACAAGTTCTTCTCGAATCTATGAGATGTATTCACTCTATTTCATTTAAGGTGATGAAGGACTGATAGTAGAATTTCTTCACAATGATATGAGTATGGCTGATGTTTACATTAAATTTCACGCAGTCTTGCTTTCCCAAAAGTTGTTCTCTTACCGGATGGACTGCCGTTTTTACTTCGCATAGGTCTTATCAATACCCCCAGCGGGAGTCGAACCGTGACAATGCAGCATGTAAGCTTGGTACGTTAATTGCTCAGCCATATTGCCACGAGTGCCCTTTGATCATAGGGCAGATGTGAATTTCAAGGAGGGCCAGGCCTTTTCCCATATCACATTCTTTTGGTGGGATTGTCGATGAAGCAAAGTTGTATTTGCTATGACAATCGACTACTCTACTTATTTTCGTCCATAAGTAGGGTTTCGAGACTATCAGTAAATCAGTTATATGAGATGTATTCACCTTACTTGATCATCTTAAACGAAATAGGGTGAATACATCTCATAAAACTGATTTACTACTAGTCTCAAAACTCTACTTATATACGAAAAATAAGCGATGCATTCGATTGTTATAGCAAAAATACGTTTTGCTTAATCGAAAATTCCACCAAAGAGTGTGATATGGGAAAAGGTCTGGCCTTTCTTGTAATTCACATCTACCCTGTAACCCAAGGACACTCGTGTCAATGTGGCTGAACGATTAACATTTCAAGCTCACATGCTACATTGTCACGGTTCGACTTCCGCTAGGGCTGTTGATAAGATTTATGCGAGGTCGCAATTGCAGTCCACTCCCGCCTGGATGAAGACAACTTTTGGAGAAACAAGGCTATGTGAAATTCAATGGAAACCTCAGCTCTACTCATATCAATGTGGGAAAATTATACTATCAGTCCGTCATCACCTTAAACGAAATAGGGTGAATACATTTCATATAATTGAGCTACTGGTAGTCTCCAAACTCTACTTAGGCACGAAAAATCTTCGGATCTTTTTTCTTACTTGATTCAATTTGAGGCGAGCTGACACTACGACTCAATTGCGCCTAGGCCAGTTTGTTTTGTTTTACTTTGTATTCGCTTTCTTTAATTTTTCCGAAGTAATTAGCTAACGACCCCTAAACTGATTGGCAATTAGCTATGCTATGCTATCACACTCCTTATGGATCTATTTTGACTATAGATCTATTAGAGTACTATTATAATCTGCTTTAACAGTCTATTTTTGCCCTATTTTGCATTCGCACTTTTTCAATATTGATAAATTGGTCTTGTCTACAATGAGATTTATAAGCCTCACTACGCCATTGAATTGTATTTAGGCTGGCCTTCCAAATGCTCATCTCATCTAGGCTGGGGTGGACTGCATTTTCGACCTCCTCTTGGTCTCATTAGTATCTCCAGCGCGATTCGGTAACGGTTCGTGACCATCATGGCGACGCTATCTCTCCATTACATGGCCACCGGTGCTAGTGAGTCACAGGACAGATGCGACATTAGACATGCTAAGCCTCTTACAACTCACATTTTATATTGGGATTGCTGATTAAGCAAACATGTGTTTGCTGTTACATTCAACGACGTTACTTAGTTTTAATATAAGTAATTTTCGAGACAATTATCAATTCATGAATAGGAGCTTAGTCGACTTAGGTTTGGCTTACTCATCACATTGTAGGAAAAGTCAGCTATCAATCTTCAGATCACCTTAAGCGAACTAGGATGACTAAGTTGTTATTTACAAACTACTGATAGTCTCGAAAACTACTTATAACGAAAATAAGTGATGAAGGTATGAAGACCAAGATGGTGTTGCCTTTTGTGTGGTCGCAATCTCATTTCGTTGTATAGAGGTTGTTTTATCTTATTTTCGCGACATGGTCATATTGGTAGGAAGACTTAGAGGAACACACCTAGTCCGGAGCCGATTGTATGCGTGGTCATTTCCAAAGTCGGACCGTGTACGTGGTACATTCCCAGATGTTTCGCCGGCATTGTAGTCGGTATAGTCAGTGAGTCTCGACATTCTTAGCACCACACAACAACTCGCTAAACAGACAATGGAAGCCGATCCTTTGACCAAACCTGTGCTGAACAGTTGTGGTATCTCCCTGTTTGCCCATAGGCTATTCACATTTCCTATATCCTCCTATTACGGCTTCACTGTTACAATTTTCATCGTGCTTATTTTGATGTAGTGTGGTGTGCTCCTTTGAGTGGCATTCATGAAAACACTTCACACTCCACGCTGTCGTTCTCACCATCTTTACCCTTGTGCTGGGAATGTTGACCAGAGTCTGCCATATTGTTACGCAGTCCTCCTTCCCTCCTCTTTCTTCTACTATATTTAATAAATAGCCAACTATATTCATAGAAATTATTAAACCACCATAATAAGAAACACCAGATAATATAATAACCAAATATATAATAGAAAGAATAACAACAAGTCACACAACCTTTGATTGAGAAACAATGCCCAAACTATAGCCGAAATATAGTTCTAAAATGAGTTTATCAAAATATTAAGAAATATTGAACCTAATCAAAGCAAGCAGCACCACAACATTTGTGGGTTGGCACACAAGTGACTAGGGCATAGCAAGTCATACACTTGGTATTAGGGATAGAAAGAGGATAGACGCGGCGGAGACTGGATCTAGTTGGCTGACAGTTGGTTTTATCAGAGACGTGCTCCATGTAGCAAAGCCTTGACGATGAAACTTATTCAGAGGCTTTAGCCTCAAATAAGTCACCCAGATGCAGGGGCGGGCGAATAACGTCTCGAGTAGCACAGATGGGGTGGCGAGTGTTGATTGAAATACGTGAACCAGGGAGATAGCAGACGGAGCTTACGGGGCAAGAGAGAGACTGTGGTGAGACCTATGGAAGGAGGACGGCGTAACAACAAAGGAGCAGACCACACTACATCGAAATAAGCACGGTAAAAACGGTCTGCATGGGCAGAGTGGGAGATATCACAACTGTTTAGTACACGTTTGGTCAAAGGATCTGCTTCACTTGTCTCTTTGACGAGTTGTTGTGTGGTGCTAAGAATGACGAGACTCACCGACGATGCCGACTACGATGCATGTGAAACGTCTGGGAATGTATCACGTCCACGGTCCGACTTTGGAAATGATCACGCATGCAATGGACTTCGAACTAGGTGCGTTCTTCTAAGACTTCCTACAAATATGACCAAGTTGCGAAAGCAATGTCAAACAACATCAATAAGTGATGATGTTGGTAGCATGCATAATAATTGCCAGATTCGAACCGTGGACTTGGTACATTCTATTTGACTCCGGACAAGGTACGTTATTCTAGGTCTTCCTGCCAATATGACCAAGTTGCGAAAATAAGGTCAAACAATTTCTATACAATGAAAGGAGACCGCGACCATACAAAAGGCAATACCAGCTTGGTCTTCATACTCTTAATGAAAATAAGTAACGTTGTCGATTGCAATGACAAACACTTTTTTGCTTTATCAACATTCTTACTATAAATTTTCATTTAGGAGAGGCCTAGCATGTCCTTGTCCTGGAAGTCAGTGGTATCTGCGTCATGTAGGGGTGTGGCACATGTCACCGCGATACTCACGAT